ATTTTATATGCAATTAATAAACATTAATGTGCGTATGTATGTATAGATTAAGTTTTTTTTAATATTTTCTAGAACAATTTTTTCGAAAACATATTTACAATGTCGATTGTGCTTATATATGTCACTTGGCATGTTTTTACTTTTATAAAGATTTTATTGTGATTTCAATGCTATTTATAAAAAAGAACCGATAGAAAAATATCAAATCAGTTTGTTTCTATCACGAATATATATCATATATATTTGTATATTAAAGAATGCAATTAAATATATCAAAGAATACACATTATAATAAATAAACCAAGTTACTTTTATGTTGTATTTTTAATAATTAAATCTAAAAAAAAATTATTTAATGACAGAATATTTTTCGACATATATATATATATAGGCTGATTAATATTTATTTAATTAATTACACAACGTTTCATATAATTATTGTTATTCTCAAGTGTTACTGTTAATTGTGCGAAGGACCAAAATTATATGGTCGAAAAACCGTGGTCGAAACATTGTGTGATTAATTAAATAAACATCAATTGACGAATGTGGGTTGAAAAATATTTGGTCTTTTAATTTTTGACAGCTGAAAATTAATAATTATTATCAGTATATTATATTGAACGTTTACATTTCATATATATATATATATATATATATATATATATGTATATTATATATGTATATATATAACGGTAGAGTTTGCCAAAATTATTGAGCAATAGAAAAAATGAAAGCGAATAATTTAATATGCAACATAAATGCAACATATCTAATTTTTCGAATATTTTTTATTTATTATTTATTTATAATATACGTTCTTCGCAGAAGTGATATACATTGTGCGACAGGCGTTAATGAGACAAAATAACAAAAAGATTTACAAACCACAAGAATTACCTTTGAGATAACTTTTTTTCCAAGAACTTGTCATATTTGGCTGCATAACGAAATTGCTTGCACACGCATCGAAAGTTAATGATATCTTCAATAGTGAGTACGTTATCGTTGAGAATGTAACTTATCATCTTCTCTGGTAAGTACGTTATCTTCCAATCAGACATTATGAGAAACAAAACACAAAAAAGGAATGTAAATTAAAGTGATTGCAATAAACTATTCGCGTAATTAATTCTCTGCTTTTTGCAGTACACGAAACGAATCTGCCGATTACAAAAGCACAGATGTGTGTTTGATGTACACGAGAAACGTTTTCCACACTGTAGACGTTTTGTTCTTTATTATAAAATTTGACCTTAAATTCTAAAGTTTTATTGCTTCTTCCCACTAACAATAAGATTCAAATATAAGGACTTGTAACGGCATGCGCAGAAAATGAAATTTAGAACTAGCAAAAATTATCATTTTCTCCTATGCACTTAAAAAATAGAACGTGATAAATAATATATTTATTATTTATTCTTTGTTATTACTATTTATTTATTTATTATTCTCTATTTAAGTATAATTAAAATTATATATTTTTACAAATTTATCAGTTATTTCAAATTTTACTAATTTCTATGTATTTATATTTTGTATTATTTAAGATTAATTAAACTAATTTTATTTCAAATTATCAATTTTTATTTTATTAAACTTTACCAATAATATTCAAGTATATAAATTTTACAGTTTAAAACTCCAGTGCTGTGAATTGTCAAATTTTTTCGATAAGAGAGAAAAGGAAAGAGAGAGATATACATTTTTCATTCTGCAAATCTTGACAGATAAAATTCTCAGCTAAAATAAAATGCTCGACTTTGAATACAAATATTTAGAAACTGATGTATGTACATAGTTTATATAAGACTATGCTACAATTTTATGTAGTTTTATTTGGGCGTTTATACGGGGTGTATATATTCTAGAAATCTTAATTCTAAGAATATAAAAACTCCATGGATTAAATGCAAATTCAGAATGAACAGACTATGCGAACTCAACGCAGATATTTGTGAATAAATCTCAATTCGAGGTTTTAGTTTTTATGTTTCCCTCTGATCCCCTAAAAAGATGTAGAAAAGCAAAATATATCGGTCCAGAAGTTGCTGAATCGGGAACATAGGAATTAAAATAGAGATTCTAAAATTCAAATCTAAGTCGAGAATTATTCCTAAATAGTCTTATTGTTAGCACTATGCTAAGCAAATTTCGTGTCTCGTGCACAATTATAAGACATAGGGGAAAAACTAATTTTTCTTATCTAACGCACAAACCTTCGCCTTCGGTTCGCATACCCTTGTTTATTTCGAGACTAACTTTCTTATTCATTAAGTATATTTGTTCACTTATTTTTCAAAAGTTTATATTAATCACTAAAAAAAAACTAAATAATAATATTTATATTTATCGGTTTTTATTTACTCTTTTGGTAGCTTTTGGAGAGATGCAGAGATATTATGAAGTTGAAATATAAATATTAATTTAAAAGAATTATTTATCTTATTAAATTTGTCGAAAATCTCGCGTTTCAGAATGACCTTAAATGTGTTTTATATCCAATTGTGGAGTATATTTGCTGTTCTAAGCATGTGTGTTTCAATTATGTTTTTTTATATTTTCAGATATATATAAAAAATTTGGTATAAGTCTTTGTACAATTATCTGATTTTAATATATTTTTTGATATAGAATAAGAAGGCCGCACACTTGAAACATTATGTATAAATTTCTTTATGCTTTATTTTTATATGATATATCGCATGCTCCACGTTGTTTGTTATACCTTCTATAATAATGCCACATCCATTGAAGAGATCTTCTGCATAATTGATACGATAAAAACATTCTTCGTTAATAGTTATGTTAAACTTTGTTATGATTTTTATTCCATTAAATTTATGTTCTTCTTTTGATTGTGTAACGAAATAAGTTAAAATATTTCAATTCACATCATGATAAATGCGCCGCATAATAAAATCAAAGAATAAATTATAAATTTAAAAAATACAGCGCAGACATTTAAATTAATGTTCAGATTTTTAATTTTAGTTTAATTAAATTTGTTCAAATTTATTTCAATTTATAAATACAAATATTTATATGTATTATTAGTATCGTTAAGACATTATTTATAATATGAAATATATTTCACTTTTTCTTTTTCTCTTTTATTTTGCCTATCTTTATTTTTTTTAATAATGTACAAATTTTAATAATTTGGAAAATTTTATGTAGTTTACTCGCGCGTATGTACGGGTGTAAACTATTATATAGCGTGATATAGAGAATTATATATTATTTAAATTGCTCGATTACTGAAGAAACATATTTGTAAAATTAATAAATTAATTTTTGAAAAATAAAATATAAGATGAGTGTTCTAACAGAAGTTTAAAAGAAACGGAAACTAAAATGTTACATTTTGAATGACATTAAATGTATTCTGTGCTCAAGTGTGAAGTATATTTGCTGTTGCTTCACTAAGCATGTGTTTCTCAATTATGTTTCTTTTTTATTTTTAATTAATTAATTAATAATAAAAAATAATAAATTTATTTTGGAAAAATAAAATAGATGGTTCGAGTGTTCTAATAAAAGTTTGACACACACATATTCAATTTATATATTGTATATAATAAAAATTATTAATAAGTGTTACATTTTAATGACATTAATTGTGTTCTGTGCACAAGTGCGGAGTATATTTATTATACATTTATGTGTTTTTTATATTTTCAGATATATAAAAAATTTTTTTTGTATAAGTCTTTGTACACACACACAACTATCACATTTTAATATATTTTAATATATATTTAACGTTGTTTGTTATATTTCTTAAAATATTGCCTTATCCATTGAAGAGATCCTCTACATAAAAGAAAGATATAACTTGTTGGAATTAGTTAAATTTTAAAGTCTTGCTTGAATCTTGCACAAATTTTCAAATACTGCAATTATCATACAATATATCATACAAAATCTAATATTATTAATACGTTTATATTGTCTCTTTCAACAACAAAGTATTATATATATTCTAAAATATATAAATCATTGCCTTTTATTAACATACGTGTTTTTACTTATACAAATGCAACACTATCGATGATACAAGTTTCAAAATAATAGATATTAATAAATGGTAAATTTTAATTATGTCATATTTTGCATATACTTAAAGTATTGAAAAAAAGTTCATAAATCAATTAATTTTTCTAAATTTTTAAATTTATAAATTCTACTGCACTAATTCAAATTCTTGCAATCACAAGTTTTCTTATTTTATTGTTTATATTAATTAATACAATAAATATAGCAGAGAATAATAAATATATTTTATTCGTCGTTGATTCTCAATTGACATTGCATACAAAAATGGGACATAGTATTTCTCTACAGAAGTCGAACATATACGTGTATATACATGTATATGTCAATATAACATCTGTCTATTATGTTGGTCCATGCAACTATGGCATATTTTACGTTTTTATTTGTTTGTGCTATTATTTGAAACAAAATTTAAGACACAAACTGTAAAATTTGTACTTTAATAGATTTTTTGTGAATAAATGTCTCAATAAACACTTAACCACGTTAAATTATAAAAAATTGTAAATTATACATATTGTTATCTAAAAGAATTGTTATCTAAAAGAATCTCACAATGTTCAATATTTTTACAATTGTATATATATTATATACTAATATGCGATTGTTAGTGCGCGGATGTACTTTACTCATATTGTACTCATATTTCTCAAAACATGATGACAAAAATAGACACAGATGCAGGCTCATATACTACTCAAAACACGGACATATTATGATATCTTGAAACTGTTTGCAAAAAATGACATTATGAGTACATATAAATATGCCTAAATTAATATAATTACTCACATTTTGCATCATATGTATATATAACTTGCACTCATAATACTCTATCATCATAATAAGATTACAAAACATACAATACATTTTAATCATATCAGAAGATCTTATATAATGCTCTATTTAAATATCTCTATATATAAAAGCAATTTTCTTATTATATATATATATGTTCCCTTATAAATTCGTCAACGATATTTGTTGTGAACTCCAAGATCTAAAAAAATTAATTAAACATGAATATATAGACGACATGTAAATAAAAATGTAATTATAAATTAAAAAAATGAGAGATTGCACATTTCTCTTCTTCCTATACATATTTAGTGTAATTTATTGGTTCTTTGTAAATTTACAAGTATATTAATAACTTAAAATTATTAGAAGTAATAAATAAGTAATTTTCAACCTTTTTAATTGTTAAGACTGATCGCCAATTTAATCTATTATCAGTAAGACAATTCGGGTAATCCTCGTTTGTTATGTAAAAACTTCGTGCATTTTTTAAATTATCCGTGACGCTGTAAACAATTAAAATATTACTTTAATCATTATGAACATTTTTATAATAAAAAATTATATATGCATGCGTATAATAAAAAAAGAAAGATTATTGAGAAATAATAATAATGTCGATTCTAATATATATTTATACTTACAATTCTGGTTTCCAAAATATATAGAATTCATTTTCAATATCTAGTACATCGCAACGTAGACCAAGTCTTCTAGCCACGCTATGAAATATTGTATATACAATGATATCTTGACCAACTTTATTTTGTAAAACCTGTGCCAGGTATAATACAGGACAAATTAATCAAAGCGAGAGAATATTAAAAACAACATATAACGTATACATATATGGCCCATAATTATATATATTATAATTTATAATAACTTACATAATCTATACACAAACATTTGATATTCTCGGGTACGTAGATACATACTCGAAAGTTCAAAGTGCCAAATATATATTCCTGAAGTGTATCTATAATCTGCGTACTTTCTGTTTTATTCCAATGATTATCTTCGATATTGTTGGTTTTTCAATAAGAAAAAGTTTCATCAGACGTGGAGAATATTAAATGGTTCGGATGCTTTTTTCTAAGAGAATTCAGTACCTCTTGTGCGATTGTATCCAATGATGCACTTACATTCGTGTAACATACATCTTTTCGAGGTTGAATACGTTGTGCTATGAAAGTACAAATTTCTTCCAAAAGCTGTTCTCTTTCAGGTTTCTTTATATATCTGTCCAACTCATTTTGTATCGAAGATAGCTTTTCATAGTGAGACATTTGTATATTGCAATATCTTTCGATTGATTTGCAATCAATTCCTCTAAAAAATTTATATATTGAAGTATTAAGTTAATCAATAAAATAAAACATTAAATTGTGATAATAGTAGCTCTATAATATATATGAAGATATCCTACCGTGGAGATTGTGTAAACAAGCATTTAATCTCGTCAATATAAAACATATATTTTAGCACATCTGTAGGCTCATGTGTACGTTTAGGAATAATTTGATTTATATATTTATCGATATTACCGATGAGTTTCATTACATTTTCGAATGTTAATACATTAGCAATTAAGTCGAAGTAATTTTGATTTGCTTTATTTTTGTAATAATAATCGTAAAAAAGAATTAGAGACAGATCATTTCGCAATTGAATCACAGAATTTATGCCTTCTGTAATAAAGTTTATGTTTTTTCCATCTTTTGTTTCCTTAAGACTTTCATATTTTTTCTTTGCATAGGGCCATCTAAAATACGACCATAAAATATTGTAATAAATTTTGATAATGATACTTAGTGTTGTGTCATGATTATTATAAAATTAGATAGATAAAGATGAGATAAAAGTATGTAAATTCATCTTAGATAGGATAAAGATGATTTTGTTTTAAGTATATCTAGATAAAATATATAATTTAATGGCGTTATATTTAGATAATTGTTTAGATAATAATATTTAAGACTGCTTATGTAAACACAGTTATACAAAAAATATAAATTATAAAAGGAATACAACAGTATATGTATTTATATTTTTATATATAAATTATTATCGCTTTACTGTCTACTTTAAGTATTTTTAAGTGCTATGAATCTACACCAAAATGATCTAAAAATTGTTTTAGATAAATTATATAGTAAAGATAATATTTTTATTATCTAAAATGCAGATATAAAGATAATTCATATTTTTATTATCTATATGCAGATAAGATGACGCCATAGTTCTTCCATTTAATTTTATTTAGATAACACAAAGCAAACTTTGATGATAATAAACAATGTGATTGCACAAGTTTTTCAAATTAATAAATTTTTTGAAGTATACAATTCAAAGCATGAATACATATATGTCACTTCTTTTTATACTTTAATTAGAAAAATTAAAATATATAACATTCAATATTAATTTATAATAAATTTATACTTGGATGAATAACATTTGTTTTATATTTATTTTTTAACTACATATTCCTAAAAGTATATTAAAACTCAATTTTCAAATTTTGATTTTAATATGTATATTTCGTAATTCTATACGTGTATTCTATATGGAATTAATAAACATTAATGTGCGTGTGTGTATGTATGTATATATTAAGTTTCTTTTTAAATATTTTGTAGAACAATTTTTTCAAAAGCATATTTACATACAATGTCGACTGTGCTTATATATGTTACTTGGCACGTTTTTACTTTTATAAAGATTTTATTGTGAATTCAATGCTATTTATAAAAAAGAACCGATAGAAAAATATCAAATCTGTTTGTTTCTATCACAAATATATATCATATATATAATTATTATATTTAAAAATGCAATTAAATATATTGAAGAATACACATTATAATAAATAAACAAAGTTACTTTTATATTGTATTTTTAAGAATTAAATCTATAAAAAAATTAATGACTGAATATTTTTCGACCGATATATATATAGGCTAATTAATATTTATTTAATTAATCACACAACGTTTCATATAATTTTTGGCGTTCTCAAATGTTACTGTTAAGTGTGCGAAGGACCAAAATTATATGGTCAAAACACCGTGGTCGAAACATTGTGTGATTAATTAAATAAACATCAATTGACGAATGTCGGTTGAAAAATATTTGGTCTTTTAATTTTTGACAGCTAAAATTAATAATTATTATCAGTATATTATATTTAACGTTTACATTTCATATATATATATATATATATATATATATATGTATATTATATATGTATATATATAAAGGTAGTGTTTACCAAAATTATTGAGCAATAGAAAAAAATGAAAGCGAATAATTTAATATGCAACATAAATGCAACATATCTAATTTTTCTAATATTTTGTATTTATTATATATCTATAATATACGTTCATCGCAGAAGTGATATACATTGTGCGACAGGCGTTAATGAGACAAAATAACAAAAAGATTTACAAATCACAAGAATTACCTCTGAAATAACTTTTTTTCCAAGAACTTGTTATATTTGGCTGCATAACGAAATTTCTTGCACACGCATCGAAAGTTAATGATATCTTCAATAGTGATAACATTATAGCCGATAATGATGGCTATGATCTCCTCTGGTAAGCTCGTTATCTTACAATCAGACATTATGAAAAACGAAACACAAGAAAGGAATATAAATTATAGTGATTGCAATAAACTATTCGCGTAATTAATTTCTTGCTTTTCGCAGTACACGAAATGAATCTGTCGATTACAAGAGCACAAATGTGTGTTTGATGTATACGAGAGACGTTTCCACACTACAGACGGTCTGTTCTTTATTATGAATTGTGACCCCAAATTTTAAAGCCTTATTGCTTGTTTTCACTAAGATACAGGTATAAGAATTTGTCACGGCATGCGCAGAAAATGTAATTAAGAACTAGCAAAAATTACCATTTTTTTCTGTGCACTTAAAAGATAGAACGTGGTAAATAATTTATTTATTAATTATTTTTTATTATTACTATTTATTTATGTATTGTTCGCTATTTTAACTTAATTAAAAAATAATATATTTTTTCAAATTTATCAGTTATTTAAAATCTTACTAATTTCCATGTATTTGTATTATTTATTATTTAAGCTTAATTAAAATAATTATATTTCAAGTTATCATTTATTTTATTAAATTTTACCAACTTTTATGTATGTATATTTTACAATTTACAACTCCAGTGCTGTGCATTATGAAATAATCTCGATAAGAGAGAAAAGGAAAGAGAGAGATTTACATTTTGCATTTTTCAAATCTTTACAGATAAAATTCTCAGTTGAAATAAAATTTCCGACTTACAATACGAATATTTAATAAATGATGCATGTACAAATAGTTTATATAAGAATATTGTACAATTTTATGTAGTTTTATTCGCGCCTATTATATATGGGGTGTATATATTTTAGTAATCTAAACTTTATAAGAATATAAAACTTTATGGATTAAATACAAACTCAAAATGAACAGACTATGCGAACTCAATGCAGATGTTTGTGAATAAATCTCAATTTGAGATTTTAATTCCTATGTTTCTTTTTGATCTCCCTACAAAGATGTAGAAAAGCAAAATATATCGGTCCAAAAGTCGCTGAATCGGAAACTGAGGAATTAAAATTGAGATTCTAAAATTGAGATAAATTTGCAAAATCTGAAATTATGCTAATATCATACAAAATCTAATATCATTTATAAGCTTTTATCGTCTCCTTCAATACAAAAGAATTATGTATATTTGAAAATATAAAAATCATTGCCTTTTATTAACATACTTATTTATACTTATACAAATGCAACACACTATCGATTATATATGTTTCAAAATAATAGATATTAATAGATGGCAAATTTATTACGTCATATTTTGCATATATTGAAAGTGTTAAAAAAAGTTATTAAACTAATTAATTTTTTTATTTTCAAGATTTATTAATTCTTCTGCATCAATTCAAATTTTTGCAGTCACAAAATTTTCTTATTTTATTATTTATATTAATGAATATAATAAATATCGCAGAAAGATAATAGCTATATTTTATTCATCGTTGATTCTCAATTGTCGAACATGTATGTATATATGTATATGTCAATAACATCCTATTATCTATTATGTTGGTCCGAATCTGTAGATTGATCTGTAGGTGGATTATATATTATGATAATTTCCACAGCATATTTCACGTTTTCATTTATGTGTTCTACTATTTAAAATAAGACAGAAACTGTAAAATTTTTACTTTGATTTTTTGTGAATAAATGCTTCAATAAACACTTAAAACACGTTAAATCATAGAAAATTGTAAATTATACATAATTGTTATCTGAAAATATCTCACAATGCTCTTTATTTTTACAATGGTTTATGTTATATACTAACTAGCGATTATGTTATTGCGCGTATGTTTTTTACACATTACAATTGACTAATTTCAAATAGATTATTATGTGTCCATATAAACGTTTCAACAAAATCTTGTATCATGACCAACATCTGAAAAAGTTAATTAAACATGAAAAAAGATTAAATGTAAACAAGAATCCAATTATAATTTAAGAACTGAGAAATGTACGTTTCTTTTCTTTCTACACACATATAATGTAATTTATTAATTGCTTGTCAATTTACAAGCATATTAATAACTTAAAATTAATAGAAGTAATAAATAAGTTTCCACCTTTGCAGTTCTTATTTTGATGACGTCATGATGTGTACAAGACATGTAATCTGGTAGACAATCATGAAGACAATTCGGGAAATTTTCGTCTTCTATGTAAAAACATCGTTCATTTTCTAAATTATTCGTGACGCTGTAAATAATTAAAATATTACTTTAATCATTATGAAAATTTTTATAATAAAAAATTATATATGTATGCGTATAATAAAAAAAGAAAGATTATCGAAAAATAATGATAATGTCGAATCTAATATATAACTATACTTACAATTTTGATTTCCAAAATATACAGATTTCAGTATAAACATCTATTAGATCGCAACGTAGACCAAGTCTTCTAGCCACGCTATGAAATATTGTATATACAACGATATCTTGACCATATTTACTTTGTAATATTTGTGCCAGGTATAATACAGAACAAATTGATCAAAACGAGAGAATATTAAGAACAATATATAATATATACATATATGGCCCATAATTATATATATTATAATCTCTAATAACTTACATAATTTATACAAATCCATTTGATATCTTCGGGTGAAAATGGGGAGATACATGCTCGAAAATTCAAGATGCTAAATATATATTCCTGGAGTGTCCATAATCTGCGTACTTTCTGTTTTATCCCAATGATTATCTGCGATATTGTTGCTTTTTCAATAGGAAAAAGTTTCTTCAGAAGTGGAGAATATCGAATGGTTCGGATGCTTCACTCTGAGACAATTCAGTACCTCTTGTGCGATTGTATCCAATGATGCACTTACATTCGTGTAACATATAGCTTTTCGAGGTTGAATACGTTGTGCTATGAAAGTACAAACTTCTTCCAAATCTGTTCTTTTTCAGGTTTCTCTCTATATCTGTCCAACTCATTTCGTATCAAAGATATCTTCTCATAGTGAGACATTTCCATATTGCAAAATTCTTGGATTGAATTGCGATCAATTTTCCTAAAAAAATGTATATATATTAAATTATTAACTAATGAATAAATACAATAAATTGTAATAATAGTAGCATTATAATATATATGAATATCCTACTGTGGAAATTGTGTTAACAAGCATTTAATCTCCTCAATATAAAACATACATTTCAGCACATCTATAGGCTTACGTTTACGTTTAAAAACAAGTTCATTTTCATTCAAACGATTTGCATATTCATCGAAATTTTCACTGAATTTCTTTACATCATGGAATTTTAATACTACATTACTAATTGAATCATTGAAATAATTTTGATTTGATATATTATTGTAATAATAATCATTGTAATAATCATCAAAAAGAATTAGAGACAAATAATTTCGCAATTGTGTCGCAGAATTTATGCCCATTGTAACAAAGTTTATGTTTTCTTCATTTTCTTTTTCCTTAAGACTTTCATATCTTTTCTTCGTAAAGGGCCATCTGAAATACGACCATAAAATATTGTAATAAATTTTTGATAATGAATCTTAGTTTTGTGTCGAGATTAATTTAAAATTAGCTGGATAAAGATCCTAAAAAGATAAGGATCCCTTATAAAAGGGATACAACAATATATGTATTTATATTTTTATTTATAAATTTTTATCGTATTTTTGTCTATTTTAAGTATTCTTATGTGCTTTGATTCTAAACCAAATTTATCTGAAAATTATTCTAGATAAATAATATAGTAAAGGTAGTACTTTTTTTTATCTACTTGTAAGATGCAGATATAAAGATAATACATATTTATATTATCTATATGCAGATAAGACGTTGCCACAGTTCTTCCATTTAATTTTATTTAGATAACACACAGCAAACTTTGATGATAGTAAACAATGTGATTGCTCAAGTAATTTTTTAAATTAATAAGTTTTTTGAAGTATACAATTCAAAGCATGAGTACATGTATGTCACTTCTTTTTATACTTTAATCAGAAAAATAAAATATATAATAGTTAATTCTAATTTGTAATTTAATTTATACTTTTCAAATTTTGATTCCAATATGTATATTGCATAATTCTATAAGTGTATTCTATGTGCAATTAATAAACATTAATGTGCTTATGTGTTTGTATGTATAGATTAAGTTTTTTTTTAATATTTTGTAGAACAATTTTTTTGAAAGCATATTTACAAACAATGCGTCAATTTTGCTTATATATGTCACTTGGCATGTTTTTACTTTTATAATGATTTTATTGTGATTTTTATGTTATTTATAAAAAGAATTGATAAAAAAATATCAAATCTGTTTGTTTCTATCACGAATATATATATCATATATATAATTTTTATATTTAAAAATGCAATTAAATATATTGAAAAATACACATTATAATAAATAAACAAAGTTACTTTTATGTTGTATTTTTAATAATTTAATCTAAAAAAAAATTATTTAATGACTGAATATTTTTCGACTGATATATACATTTAAGCTAATTAATATTTATTTAATTAATCACACAACGTTTCATATAATTTTTGACCTTCTCAAGTGTTATTGTTAAGTGTGCGAAGGATTAAAATTATATGGTCGAAACACCGTGGTCGAAACGTTGTGTGATTAATTAAATAAACATCAATTGATGAATGTCGGTTGAAAAATATTTGGTCTTTTAATTTTTGACATGATATAATCTATTTTTTTTATCTGTTTTTATATTATTTAAGTTTTATTTTTTTACATTATATTTTCATTATTTTTTATTTATTATATATTTATAATATACGTTCTTCGCAGAAGTGATTTACATTGTGCGACAGGCGTTAATGAGACAAAATAACAAAAAGATTTACAAACCACAAGAATTACCTTTGAGATAGAATAGTGAGTACATTATCGTCGAGAATGTGGCTTATCATCTCCTCTGGTAAGTACGTTATCTTATAATCAGACATTATGAGAAACAAAACACAAAAAAGGAATGTAAATTAAAGTGATTGCAATAAACTATTCGCGTAATTTCTTGCTTTTCGCAGTACAAGAAATGCGTCTGCCGATTACGAAGAGCACAGATGTGTGTTTGATGTACACGAGAGACGTTTTGCACACTGTAGACGTTCTGTTCTTTATTATAAAATTTGACCTCAAATTTTAAAGCATTATTGCCTGTTTTCACTAAGATGTAGGTATAAGGACTTGCCACGGCATGCGCAGAAAATGTAATTTAAAACTAGCAAATTTACCAGTTTTTTCTATGTGCTTGAAAGATAGAACGTGATAAATAATTTATTTATTATTTATTCTTTATTATTACTATTTATTTATTGTTTTTTATTTAAGTTTAATTAAAATAATATATTTTTTCAAATTTATCAGTTATTTTAAATTTTACTAATTTCCATGTATTTATATTATGTATTATTTAAGCTTAATTAAAGTAATTTTATTTCAAATAATCAATTATTTTATTAAATTTTATTAATAATATTCATGTATTTATGTTTTACAGTTTAAAACTCCAGTGCTGTGCATTGTCAAATTTTCTCGATAAAAAAAAGGGAAAGAGAGAGATTTACATTTTTCATTTTTTAAATTTTTACAGATAAAATTCTCAGCTAAAATAAAATTCTCGACTTACGATACAAATATTTAATAATTGATGTATGTATTGTACATAGTTTATATAAGACTATTCTACAATTTTATGTAGTTTTATTTGCGCGTATATACGGGGTGAATATATTCTAGAAATCTAAACTTTATAAGAATATAAAAATTCCATCGATTAATTACAAACTCAAAATGAACAGATTACGCGAACTCAACGCGGATGTTTGTGCGTTGAATATTGAAAATTAATTTTTTTCATTACGTCTAATAATAGCACGTGTACGAGGCACGTAGTTTTCTTAGCACATTGCTAAGACTATTTAGGAATAAATTTCAATTCGATATTTTAATTTCTATGTTCTCTTTTGATCATTCTAAAGAGATGTAGAACAGAAAAATATATCGGTCCAAAAGTTGCCAAATCGGGAAATTAGGAATTAAAAAAAAAAAAAAAAAAACCACTCCCCAATGTTTAAAGTCGACCAGACTGGCAATAATTTATTATAAATAATTATTTGAAATACAACAACGTTTCGGCTGTCATTGCAGCCCTTTTCAAGTACATCAAATTTAAAACAGTAAATCAACTTCTATGCAAACTACCGACAATGTTAACGCTTGTTTTGATGAACAATGCAAGACTGACAGAAGTAAGCACATATTAAATAGATGTTAACTGTTCATAAGAATCTTAGTGACTAAGATTCTTGTGAACAGTTAACATCTATTTAATATGTGCTTACTTCTGTCAGTCTTGCATTGTTCATCAAAACAAGCGTTAACATTGTCGGTAGTTTGCATAGAAGTTGATTTACTGTTTTAAATTTGATGTACTTGAAAAGGGCTGCAATGACAGCCGAAACGTTGTTGTATTTCAAATAATTATTTATAATAAATTATTACCAGTCTGGTCGACTTTAAACATTGGGGAGTGGTTTTTTATTAATTATTACTGGCAACCTTAAGGATTATTATTTATTTTAGGAATTAAAATTGAGTTTCGAAAAGAACCAGATTGAGATTTATTTTTAAATGGTCTTAGCACTATACTAAGCAAATTTCGTGCCTCGTGCACAATTACAAGTCATAGCAAAAAAATTTCTTTTTGCTATCTAACGCACAAACATTTGCATTCGGCTCGCATAGCCTTGTTTATTTCGAGACTGAATTGATTATTCATTCAGCATAACATATTTCAAATTCATATATTTCAAAAGTTTATATTAATCTTTAAAAAAAAACTAAATAATAATAATAATCAATTTATCAGTGTGTCACTTACCCCTTTGGTAGCATTTAGGGAGGTGCAAAGATATTTTATGAAATTGAAATAAATGTATCATTATACAATAATTTAAAATAATTATTTATCTTGTTAAACTTGTCGCAAATCTTGCGTTTCAGAATGACCTTATTATAAATATGTTCTATATCTAAGTGTGGAGTATATTTGCTGTTCTAAGCATGTGTGTTTCAATTATGTGTTTTTTTTTTTATATTTTTAGATATATAAAAAAGTTTGGTATAAGTCTTTGTACAATTATCTGATTTTAATATATTTCTTGATATAGAATAAGAAGGCCACACACTTGAAACATTATGTATAAAATTTTTTATGCTTTATTCTTATATGATATTTCATAGATGTGTGTTTCAATAGATGATAGGATGAAATTTTTATCACAGATATCGCATGTTACACGTTGTTTGTTATACTTTCTAAAATAATGCCACCATTGAAAAGATCCTCTGCATGAAAGAAAGATTATATATACGAGTATTAGTTGTAGGAATTAGTAAAATTTTAAAGTCTTGCTTAAATTTTGCATAAATTTGCAAAATCTGTAATTATACTAACATCATACAAAATTTAATATCATTAATATAAGCTTTTATTGTCTCCTTCAACACAAAAGAATTATGTATATTTCAAAATATAAAAATCATTGCTTTTTATTAACATACCTGTTTATACTTATGCAAATGCAACACACTATTGATTATAAGTTTTAAAATAATAGATATTAATAGACGGCAAATTTATATTACGTCATATTTTGCATGTACTTAAAATATTAAGAAAAAAGTTTATAAATAAACTAATTTTTCTAAATTTTAAAATTTATGAATTCTACTGCACTAATTCAAATTGTTGGAATCACAATTTTTCTTACTATATTGTTTATATTAATTAATACACTAAATATAGCAGAGAGAATAATAAATATACTTTATTCATCGCGTTGATTCTCAATTGACATTGCATACAAAAATAGGGCATAGTATTTATCTATAAAAGTCGAAAATATATGTAATAGTGCACTATTTATGAAGTGATCCACCCAAATTTTCAAAGTTTTCCAATCACGCTGAAATTTGCTGAAAGTGTAGTCCTATCAAAAGTAAAATTATTCAAGTTGTTTGGCCCACATCATACAGGTTTTGTGTTAACAGGGACTTGAATTTTTATTATTTTGACCGTTACGTCCAACTTCAAACGTTAATAAATTTCAGAAGACTACTTCGATTTTAAAAAATAAGATGTGATTTCGAAAGGTTTTTTCAATTTAATCTTGTAAAATTAGTTTTTTCTTTCAATAACAATTTATATTTAATTTAACTATATCTTGAAAACTAAAAGCCTGCACATCTTGGCCTTGGAAGCGTCAAAGGAGAAGATTTCTACTTTTTTTAAAGATTTTTTGAAGAAAATCGAAGATGTCTAAATTTGAGAAAAAATTGATTTTTACTTTGTTTTTTGAAAATTTTATATAAATTGTTATTAAAAGAAAAAACTAATTTTACAAGATTAAAGTGAAAAGACCTTTACCCCTGTAGATTTATAATTATACCATTTTACATGGGTTTGCAATGGGTAGTTTTTCACTAGTAACTTTTTCACCAACGCGCATAGCTTGACGTTTTTTTACAGTTTTTGAAAAGGTAAGTTTTTAAAGTAAACATTACTGGGAAAGATAATAAAATATTGATTTATGATTAATCTTAGTTGTTGAATTATGATATTGAAAATAATATGTAATTCTTAAATTGGAAGTAACAAATTCTGATTAAAACATTAAAAGTGTCTGATATTGTTGTTTGTATTTAAAGACATGACTTTGTAATAATATTTTTATGTTTCGAAATGAAATCAGTTTAAATTGAGATTAGAAAGTGTACAGGAAATATAACCACTGTCTCGTGAGCGATAATAAATGTTTTAAATTTATATTATCAGTAGCTTTAATTTTTTGTTTTAGCATTTTAAAGATTAAATAATGAAGACATATGTGCGGTTCTCGGAGAAAAATAGAATTTAATTTACCTGCTAAATAAAATCAAATGCGCATGTAACAAGAATCAAATAGAATATGTAAATATATTAATTTAAGTACTTTGCAAATGCTATATGAAAAGAATAATTTATTTTCATAAACTTTTGAATAGAAATGTTTTTTCATATCAAATAGAATTGTTTTTTTTATATTTTACTTTATCATTCAAAGAAACTTAAAAAGAGATTTGAAAATATTTTTCAATTTAACATACGAATTTTTTATTATATTACTATTTAAAAATTTGACAGAGCAAATATTCTTTTATTATAATAATGCATTTAACTAACTGACTGTATTACTACGACGTAAATTAATTACGACAATTATTGTAATTGGATTTGCACAATAGTTGAAGATTGTCTAAAAAAATATTATTTATTTCTATTCTTTATTATATATAATTTCAGTTTTATATATTAATGATTTATCTGTTTATAATGTAACTAAGGAATAAAAGTAAAATATTTCTGCTGAAAGATTCTTGAGTCAAAATTTGTGATACATTTAGATAATAATAAAATCGAAACGAAATAGCTGTTACACAATTCAAATCTGTAAAATAACAGCGATTGCGGTATACTCATCTTTGATGCAGAATTATGTACAATTATGATATATTAAATAATATAATTTTATATCTTATAAATATTAATTCTTATATATCTCATTGTTATATACTGGTCATAAAGTTAATTTTTATTTGAAACATATATTGTATTTAAATATATTGCGAAATTTAGACATATTGTAAATATAATATACGTTTTATATCAATGCAAATAAAATAATGACAATCAGTTTAATAGTTTAATAGTTAGCTGAAATTAATACATGTGTCATTTGTTAGTTTTTTATATAAGTAGGTACGCATATCTATAATTAATTATTACATAAGTTTTTTAAATGATGAAATTAAGTTAAAATTAAGTTAAATAATGATTAAAGTGCTGACAATGCAATCGATATTTAGTTTTAAGTCTTTGAATGTTATTATTTTTGAGAAATCAATCATAATCGAGAAGCAAAATGGATCAACACGCGATAACATAAAATCTCTTTTATAACAAACATTTTGGAATAATTATATATATTTCTGTATATTTTTTTGTTATTTATATATTTACATATATTTCTCCTTTTTCTATAATATAAGTTGCAATAATTAAAATATGTATTATATCCAAGCTTCTGTGTGGAGCCTTGAGAGAAGAGACACAGGTAATATGCGGTTATTTTGATAACAACATGAAAGAATTAGAATTTGATTAAATTTAAGTATTTTTAGAAATATAAATTTGATAAACGATACATGATGAATTATGTTCATCACACATAGACGTCGTCACGCATTATCAGTTTATACGAAACAAAACGGATCGACAAATATTATTAACATATATTCTGCTTTTGGAAATAAAGAATAATGTATAATTAAATAAATTATACATGCAATTATTTTGAATATATATATATAATAATATTTTTGATATATTTTAAAATTATCAAAAACAAGTGCTATATGAAAAGAATAATTTATTTTTTTAAACTCTTGAGTGTGGAATTTACATTTGTTCACATTTTAACTATAAGATATTCAATTAAAAATAAATTGAATAAAAAAAATAGAAGTTATAATAGATATAATATATCACATTTATCGAAACAATTTACAAATTTTGTAATTATTTAAATAGATATGAGCAAAATTTTATCTTCAGTTAAATATGCCTGTTAGACTATATTACAACGACATAAATTAATTATTATAATTATTACAATAATATAGCATATATACAATAGCTAGTGATTGTCTCGAGAAAAGAAGAAAATATTTATTTCTATTTCTTTTTTATATCTGTTTAATATCCTAAAGATTTATCTAATAATAATTAAGAGAAACAGATAAAATTATTTTGCCTTAGTACTGTAGAGTTTGTGATATACATCATGTATATGTACCTTATATATGAATTATACAATAAATTGTATCAAAGTATTACATATTTTTATATTTTTAAATTAAATATTACATATATTTTGACGGCACACATATGCATTCATGTAGTTTAAGTTGCGATAATAAACACTAATTGGAAACAACAAAAAAGTATCGATATATGTTCTAACGACTTCTGATTAAAACTTTGAAAACGTCTGATATACTGTTGTTTGTATATAAAGACATGACTTTGTAATAACATTTTTATATGTTTCGAAATAAAATCAGTCTAAATTGAGACAAGGAAGTATACAGTAATTATAACCACTACTGTCTGGAGGGCGATAACGAACGTTTCAAATTTATATAATCAGTAACTTTCTTTTTTGCTTATTTGACGTTTTAAAGATTAAATAATTAAGAAGACATATGTGCGGTTCTCGGAGAAAAATAGACATTAATTATTCTGCCAAATAAAAACAAGAATCAAATAAAATGTAAGTATATTAATTTAAGTACTTCGCAAACATATCCTTTGATTATACTTTGCATATTTTTACGTATAACAAATGAGATATTTCTTTCACATATGACTGACACGATACGCATTTCTTACACTTACAGATCGAGAAGAAACGATGAATATAATCTCCAAATTTCTCTCATTTTATGTGAGAATATATTTTTTATATATTAATTCCAATAAATATATTTGTAAGAGCTACGTAAATTTAACTCTCTGCCATTCAACGTTGCATTTGTTGTGTCAAGAAAAGATATTTTTATAAAGATAAATAAAAAGATGATTAAGTTCAAAATTTCCGCACCAGGCAGAATCATTTTATCAGGGGACCACACGGTGACGTTTGGAAATCATTTTGTTGTGGCCGGTTTAGATCTTCGCACCAATCTAGAATTCTGCGAACTATCAGATGAGCAAACTAACATTAGAATAGAATTTCAGGATTATGAGAAGGATGTACCTTTACAAGAAGTTCAATGCTTATCTTCTCGACTTATTCGCGAAAACTTGTTTTCCGATCAAGTCAATTTGCTTAAAGAAGTGAATTCCTTTATCAACGTAAACAATATGTGGGAGAAAACCGAGCAGAAAGTTAGCTTACTAATGCTCTTTTTCTTACTTTGTACTGTTACTTACAAAGAGCACCTTGTCATAAAACCTTTTCGATTACACGTGTCCACTGAAATTCCTTTTGAAAATGGTCTTGGCGGTTCGACATCATTCGTGGTTTGTCTGGCAGCGTGTTTTCTTCATTGGAAGCGTCTACAGAGTGGTGTTTATATTAGATTTAATGAACAAGACTTAGAGAAGATTGAAGAATACAATAGATCTTGTGAGGGCATTTTGCAAAAGGATGCATTAGCAACGATCGATGCCAAAGTTTGCGTATATGGCCGTATAAATAAATGCAAACATATTCATTCTAATGTTTATGATATGAAGTGTATAGATGTTGTTAAAACGGGAATAAAGATTCTATTGATCGGGACACATCTTTACCTAACGGAAGCACAAAGATATAAGCAAATAGCAGATCTGATGTTGTCACGTAGCAATTTTAATTCTATTTTTAATGAATTGGACAAAATAGCAATAAATATATTTGATGACCTAAATTATATTAATAATAACATAGAAAATTCTGATGCTTACAATGACTTACAGGTATTTTTATATTTTTTTATTTAACAACGAAATTATTTTATTTTATGCTGTATTCCTTATTAGTTTTGCGGCGTGAAAAATTCTTTATTACAATGTTTTGCCAGAAACTGTAGGTACAATTTTATACCTAAAATTTTTCGTGTTTTACAGAGAGACATTAAGAAAAATCAACAAATGTTGAGCAAATATGATTTGTCGTATTTTGAATTTGATATTGTTTCCTGCCTTGGAAGTGGATTTAATTTGGCAGGAAAACTTACAGGTTTTAAAGGTAGTTATGTATACTTTCCGTTGCCACCAAAAATTACTAAGGAAGAAATCACGTATTACAAATCTTTTCTCGTATAGAAAATGCAGTTACAAAATTGCTACAATAGGCTGTGACGGAGTGAGAATTGATATATAATTCTACTAAAATTATAACGATTATATATAAATAATTATTGCTAATTTGATAGAATACAAAGGATGACGCAAAATTATTAACTTAATACTTGTTAAATTAAAAAAAAAACGGCAGTCTCTTAATAATATCGCATTGAATTATAAAATCAAAAGTAAGAAAACTTTGAGTTGAATTTTCTTATAAAATATATCAAAAAATATTAATTTTTTTAATTCTACTTTATTTTGCTTTAAAAATTTAAACAATGTTGCGCCGAGATCATGCGCTGCAATGAATATACAGAAATTTTTCCTGATTTATAAATTAAATAATATAAACATTTCTTTATAATTTTAATTATGTGAAGTAAATTTTGAATAAAAGATAAGTCGAATAATTTTAAATTATATTTTTCGGCAACGCTTAAGAAAGGAAATAATTAAATAAAATTTATTTATTTAGAATTGTGTATTAAATATATGTATATACATATACATATGTGTATCTGTTAGCTGCATGTTTAATTTTTGTGTTACATATTATATGGAGGATGTCTTATATACATACATATTTATATACATATATATACATACATATATATATATATATACAGGGTGTCCCTAAAGTTCGTTACCATCCCTAATATTTCGGAAATTAATCAAAATTTCGAAAAATTGCAAAACACGTGTTCGATTATTTCGCCCCTCAAAGGAGTCCAAGGGGGGTGATCCACCATTGAAAATCGATTTTTCGAAATTTTGATTCATTTCCGAAATATTAGAGAAGGTAACGGACTTTAGAGACACCCTGTATATGTCTATGTAATATATAGAACTGATTAAATAATATTCATTTAGTAATTTTTTATTTGTTAAAAGACCGGGAGCAATAGTTCAAAATTTTCAATTTTTTATTATTCAATAATGCAATATAATTTGATGCACGAATTATAAAGTACATTATTGTTTATTTGTGATTTAATAACATATATTCTGCTTTAGGAAATATGGAATAATGTATAATTAAATAAATTATATATGCAATTATTTTGAAAAAAAATATATATATATATTATATATATATATATATATATATATATATATATATATATATAAAGTAATATTTATCGAAATAATATACAAATTTTATGTTGTTATATAAATAGATATTAGCAAAATTTTCTCTTGCGTTAATTATGCCTATATGAATATAACTATATTACAACGACGTAAATTAATTACGACAATTTATTATAATTATTACAATATTATAAGATTTATAAAATAGCTAGAGATTGTCTTAAGAAAAGAAAAAAATATTTATTTCTATTTCTTATTTATATCTGTTTTACAAACTAATTATTATAAGATTTATTTTATATATAATAATTAGGAGATAAAAATAAAATTATTCTGCTTTAGTACTATTGCGTTTGTGATATACATCATATACATGACCGATATATATATATATATATATATATATATATAAATTATTTAATAAATTTTATCAAAGTATTATATATTTTCGTATCTTTAAATTAAATATATATATGTAATATTTAATTGCCATCAAAATGATGCATTTTGACATCAAAATGATGTCATAATAATTACTGTGGCTATTTGGGTATGTATTTATACATGTATTTTAAATTATGATAATAAACATTAACTGAAAACAACAAAAAAATATTGCTATTAACGAATTTTGATTAAAACATTAAACACGTCTGATATTGTTGTTTATATTTAAAGATATGACTTAGTAATAACATTTTTATATATTGCGAAATGAATTCAGTCTAACTTAAGACAAGAAAGTATACAGGAAATATAACCAGTATCTCGTGTGCGATAATGAACGTTTTAAATTTATATTATCAGTGGTTTTAATTTTGTGTTTTAGCGTTTTAAAAATTAAATACTTAAGAAGACATATGTACGGGTTCTTGGAGAAAAATAGAATTTAATTTACCTGCTAAATAAAATCAAATGCGCATGTAACAAGTATCAAATAGAATGTAAGTAAATTAATTTAAGTACTTTGCATACAAATCTATTTCATATATACTTTGCATATTTTTATGTATAACCGATGAGATATTTCTGCCGCATATGACTGACTCGTTATGTATTTCTTACGTTTATAGATCGAGAAGAAACGACAAATATAATCTCCAAATTTTTCTCATTTTATGAGAATATATTTTTTTATATATTAATTCCAATAAATATATTTGTGAGAGCTACGTAAATTTAACTCTCTACCATTCAATGTTGCATCAGTTTTGTCAAGAAGAAATATTTTCATAAAAATGAATAAAAAGATGATTAAGTTTAAAATTTCCGCACCAGGTGAAATCATCTTATCTGGGGAACACACGGTGATGTTTGGAAAACATTTTGTTGTGGCCGGCTTAGATCTTCGCACCAATCTAGAATTCTGCGAACTATCAGATGAGCAAACTAACATTAGAATAGAGTTTCAGGATTATGAGAAGGATGTACCTTTACAAGAAGTTCAATACTTATTTTCTCGACTTATTCGCGAAAACTTGTTTTCCGATCAAGTCAATTTGCTTAAAAAAGTGGATTCCTTTATCGACGTAAACAATATGTGGGAGAAACCCGAGGAGAAAATAAGCTTACAAATGTTCTTTTTCTTGCTTTTTATTATCATTTACGATATGGAGCACGAAGTAAAACCTTTTCGTTTACGCGTGTCCACTGAAATTCCTTTTGGAGATTGTTTTGGCAGTTCAACTTCGTTCGCGGTTTGTCTGGCAGCGTGTTTTCTTCGTTGGAAGCGTCTACAAAGTGGTGATTATATCAGATTTAATGAACAAGACTTACAGAAGATTGAACATTACACTAAATCCTGTGAGAACATAATGGTATATTCTACGTTTAAGCCGCTCGATGCCAAAGTTTGCATATATGGCAGTATAAATAAATGCATAAGTAATAATTATCAATCTTGTTCTATCGAGGAAACTATAAATTTAACAACAGGAATGAAGATTCTATTGATCGACACACATCGCTTACAATCAGACAAATACAGCATATATCTGCAAATGCTAGAGTTAAAATATTTCCGTCCTAGCTATTTCAATTCAATTTTAAATGATTTAGAGAAAATAGCAACAAGAATATTTAATGATCTTTATAATATTAATAATAATATAAAAGATCCTGATGATGCTTATAGCGACTTACAAGTATTTCTTCTATTTTTTCTTTTTATTTAACAATGATATTATTTTATTATATACAATATTCTTTAGTTTTACTGCGTTATGAAATATCTTTTATTAAATAGTTTTTCGCCAGAAACTGTATGTACAATCTTATAACTAACGTTCTTCGTGTTTGCAGAGAGACATTAAGAGAAATCAACAAATGTTAAGCAGGTATAACTTGTCGTATTTTGAATTTGATATTATTACCTGCCTTGGAGGTGGATTCAATTTGTCAGGAAAGCTTACAGGTTTTGGAGGCAGATATGTATACTTTCTGTTACCACCAAGAATAACACAGGAAGAAATCAAACGTATTACCAATTTTTTTCGTATAGAAGATGCAGTTACAAAATTGCTACAATAGGCTGTGACGGATTGAGAATTAATTAATCCTACTAAAATTATAACAATTACATATAAATAATTAATTATTATTAAATTGATAGAATACAAAAAAGATAAAGCAAAATTACTAATTATTAATAAGAATATTTGTCAGTCAGCTCTCCTATTTTTTTTTTTTTTTAAAAACTCCATCTTCATCTCGACTAAGAGCCAAACGCGATGTTAATGCGACAAATTAATATTTAGAAATTTTTTTTTTTTTTTTGGAAACAGGAATTTGAATCCTATGGTTAAAAAAAAAAAAAAAAAAAAAAAAAAATTCTAAATATTAATTTGTCGCATTAACATCGCGTTTGGCTCTTAGTCGAGATGAAGATGGAGTTTTTAAAAAAAAAAAAAAAAATAGGAGAGCTGACTGACAAATATTCTTATTAATGTTTGTTGCGTTTAGACCAGGTACGACGCCTTGGTGGGGGGTGGGGGGTTATAAACATTGAGAGAAATATTGATTTGTAAGTGTCTGAATAGCTCAGCTGGAAGAGCAGTCGCCCGGCAAGCGGAAGGTCTCGGGTTCGATTCCCGATTCAGCCAACTTTCGGACCAATATTTTTCTCGTCTTTTTCTTACAGGGATGTTAAGAGAAGGAACAAGGGGAATTTCTGAGATCCCAACCATAGGATTCAAATTCCTCTGTTTCCAAAAAAAAAAAAAAATTTCTAAATATTAATTTGTCGCATTAACATCGCGTTTGGCTCTTAGTCGAGATGAAGACAAAATTACTAACTTGATATTTGTGAAATTTAAAAAAAAATTACGGTTTCTTAATAATGTCGCATTGAATTATGAAATAAAAAGTGGGAAAACTTAGAATTGAATTTTCTTATAAAATATATCGAAAATATTAGTTTTTTTAATTCTTTATTTTGCTTTAAAATTATAAACGATATTGCGTCGAGATTATGCGCTGCAATGAATATACAGAAATTTCTTTTTGACTTATAAAAATAAATTAATATATGCAATGTTTCATAATTTAAATTATATAAAGCAATTTTTGAATAGAAAATAAATCAATTTTGAATTATATTTTTTCGGCAACTCTTAAGAAAGGAAATAAAATTTATTTAATCTGAATTATGTATTAAAAATAGATATATATACATATACATATATCTGTTATTTACATAATTTCGGTGTTACATATTATCTGGAGCATATTTCATAGATAAATGTGTATGTAAAATGTACATATAACTGAGTAAATAATATTTATTTAATAATTTCTTTTTTTTTTAAATAGCAACTGGAAGCAATTTTCCAAAATTTCTAATTTTTTATTATTTAATAATGCTATATATAATTTAAGGCATGAATTATGAAGTACATTGTTTATTTGTAATTTAGTAACATATATTCTGATTTTAGAAATATGAATTAATGCATAATTACATAAAATATACATGCAATTATTTTGAATATATATACATACATATATATATATATATATATATATATATATAAAACTAATATTTTTGATATATTTTAGAATTATCAAAAACAAATAAAAAGTGAGCTATATGAAAGGAATAATATATTTAAACTTTTAAATATTAGTCTTTTTTCATATATAACTTTACTATTTAAAGAAACTTCGAAAAAAACGAAAACCTTGATAGAAATTTGAGAGTATTTTTCAATTTAACATACGAATTATTATATTATTATTTGATAAATTGACAGAGCAAATTTCCTTTTGCTATAATAATGCCTTTAACCAAATAACTGTATTACTACGACATAAATTAATTACGACAATTATTATAATTGGATTTGCACAATAGTTGAAGATTGTCTGAAAAAAAGATTACTTATTTCTATTCTTTTTTATAATTTCAGTTTTATGTACTAATGACTTATCGGTTTATAATTAATGTAACTAAGGAATAGAAGTAAAATATTTCTGCTTCAGGATTCTCGAGCCAAAATTCATAATACATTTAGATAATAATATTTAAGTCAAAATGAAAAAAGCTGTTATAATTGAGATCTGTAATTTAACAGAGATCGCGGTATATACATCTTTTATTTTCAAAATATATAATTCTATTATAATAAATAATATAATTTGATATAGATTGAAAATATTAATTCATATCTATAAATATGAATTTTGTGATGACAAAAAAGTGCATTTTTATTTAAAATGTATATTGTATTTAAATATATTATAAAATTTAGACATGTAAATATGATATACGGTTTGTGTCAATGCAAATAAAACAATAACAATTTATCTGATTGTTAACAAAAATTAAAATTATTGTTATAATTTTGAAAATTTGTTTCTATGTCCTTCTATGTATTTGTATCCATATCTATTATTATTATTACATATACGTTTTCGAATGTTGAATAAGTTAAGTTAAAGTTAAGATAAAGTTTGATTAAAGTTTTGAGATTGATATTTAGCTTTAAGTTTTCGAAACATTATTATTGTTGAGAAATTAATCATAATCGAGACGCGAAATAGATTAATATGGATAATATGGATAAAACATAAAAACTTTTTTATAATAACGAATATTTTCGATTAATTATATATATTTCTGTATATTTATTATTATACATTTATTTACATATTTACATATTTTTCTTCTTCTTATAATATAAGTTTCAATAATTAAATTACGTATTACTCAGGTTTGTGTGTGGAGCTTTTAAAGAAGGGATACAATATACGTTTATTTTGATGACAACAGGAAAGAATTAGAATTTGATTGAATATATGTATTTTTAGAAATATAAATTTAATAAAATGTACATAATCACACATAAATAACGTTCGCACCAACTTATGCAAAACGAAACGGATCGATAAATATTATCTCGATATTGGTATTTGTGTTATACATAAATATATACATTTTCTGAGTTCTTAATAAATATTTGTAAGAGCTACTGTACAATATACTATTTATTGTTCAATATTACGTCGATCTTTTACAGGGCACAAATTTTTATTCATAAAAGGGATGATAAAATTAAAAATTTTTACACCGGGCATATTAATCTTTATTCATAATGATGTATGGAAAATATGTTGTGGCGACCAGCACAGATCTTCGTACCACGTTCAAATACTGTGAACTATCTGATGAGCCAAAGATATTATTAAAATAAAGTTTCCTCATGTCGATTTAATATTAAATAATTAATGTTAAATGTTAAATGTATACCTGTAAAATAGTTTCTAGGTTTGAAAGTATGATGACAATTAAATAAGTTACATAGAATAATTTTTTGTTAATAAAAGGTAATATTTTGGTATATTTTTTACTATTTTTATAAAAAAGTGCTGTATGAAAAGAATAATTTATTTTTATAAATTTTTGAAAGGAATTTACATTTTTTTCATTTTTAACTTAGTTATACAATTTAAAATAAATTAAATAGTAAAACAGAAATTATAATAAAGGTAATAAAATATTTATCAAAATAATATACGAATTTTTATATTATAAATATAAATATAGCAGAAAAATTTTCTCTTGCGTTAGTTATGTTTATATGAATATGACTATATTAAGACTATATTAAAATGGAAATTAATTACGACAATTATTATAATTGTTACAATAATATTTGATTTATACAATAGCTAGAGATTGTCTCAAGAAGAAAGTATATTTATTTCTATTACTTTTTTATATGAGTTTTGTATACTAAATATTTATCTTATAATAATTAGGAGATAAAGATAAAATATATTAATTATTCAATAAATTATATTTATGTATTAGATATTTTTGTATCTTTAAATGGAATATTATACATATACCATATGTAAATATTTCAAAATTTTCAGTTTTTTATTATTCCATAATACTATATAATTCCAAACACAAGTGATAAATACATTGTTTATTTGTAATCTATTATCACATATTCTACTTTTAGAAATATGAAATAATGTATAATAATTAAATAAATTATACACAATAAATTAAATAAATTATACAAGATATGCTGTCTTGCTATCTTTCTTTCCTTCCTCCTTAAAGATCTTTTTCAAACAACTTTTATACGAAACATTTTTTTATAAAAGGCGTAGGAAAAAATATTTAGAGTGAAATTAAAATGATCCACTTTGTATAAATTAATAGTAACATAAAATAAAATATGACAACTAAAAGTTTAGTATGACTCAATATTAAACAAATTTAAATTTTAACAAATTAGAAAGTTTCGACTAGGATGCTGGAACTTTTAAAATCAGTCTAATATTGGTGTTATCAGTGTTATGTGGACGACATAAGAGATTTAAGAGATGTTAATTTAATTTAAGTGTTTGAATTATGCTTTCATGTATATGATATATTACTGCTCTGACTGACGATTTAATTTAATTTAAGATGTCACTTTTATGTATATTTGCATATAACTGCTGATATCGACCGTTTGGGTTTTATTATGTTATTCGTCTTTACTTTATATTTTTCTTTCTAATATTAGTGACATATATATATATTGATTTATTATATTATCTTTTATCCGATTTTTTGTAATTATTTATAATTTTGAAGATAATCCAAAGAATTAAAACATCCGCTAATGTTTTTACTCGAAATAAGTGATTAATTTAATTTGTTACTAATGATAAATTTCTACAAGGGATTTGTCAAGCATGTCTGGATATATATTGTATAAACAAGCAATGTTGATGAAATCTGCCCTAATTTTTATAGTCGCAGGATCATCATCAGAATGCTCGTCGAAACCGATATGTTCAAATAGCTTATGCGCCAAGTTAAAAAAATATGTATACGTAAATACATTTTATAATGATCAAACAATTTAAAAATGCAATAACTTAATTCAAGATAGCTTTCTTTCTAATAATTTTTCTACTAATTATTAAATATTTAATTTGCAAAAATCAATCACAAAATTTTTATAATTTATATATATTTATATTTAATTTTAATTAATATTAATATTTTTCTTTTTTCTTCCTCTTACTATTAATTCAGATAATTAATCAGTTTTAATATATATTTATAAATTGTGCAAAACATATCTTACTTTAAAGATCGCAAATGCACGGGGCAACTGCAAATATGAAGTTAATCTGTAAATGATTCGGAATACTGGATACCATGGGATGGGATCGATTTCGCGCGACAAATAATTTATAACTTCGAGAAAAATAATAAAATCAAGCTGTTTAGTTGTTATCAAGTAATAAACGTCGTCAATAATTTGCGCACGATTCAAAATTGGGATTTTGTCGTAATCGTCGGAATTAAGAAAAGCAATGATTCGTTTCCAATTGATTATATCATAATTTACGCGATAATAGCCTGTATTTAGAATAAAAAAACAATTAAAAATATTTAATGTACATATAATAAAGATCAATATTTTAGAATTTGTTATCAAGTTTTGAATAAATTTTTTTAAATTTATTATAAATAAATATTAAAAAATTAATAAATTTCATAATTTTTTAAAAGTTATTATCAAATTTTGAATTAAATTTAAAAAAATTTTAATTTGTACCTTATCTGATAACATAACGATACTTACCTGTCAACTGCTTATTCACAATAATCCAGTCATTAATGTTGACTCCTTCGATCGTTAAACTCTCGTTCTGAGGTTTTAACCAATGTGTAGCCAGAGTTGACGAAGAATTCGGATTACTTTGGGTAATATAATTCAATGGAATCCACCATGCGCCGGTTGTTTCAATGTCATTAAGAGATGAAATTGAATAACTCGTTTTTGCGTCACGTTAATCTCACCTGTATCATAATTTCGAACGACTGTCACGACAGGATACGCTGCCTGTTTGATCCACGTGTCCATCACTTCTTTTATTTTTAAATTATCGTGCAGTACGTCTGATTCGTCGAGAGCATCTTGCAATGCTTTCCATAAATCGTCTGGTGTAGCACTACTGTATTCGCTGAAAATCAATAATGCATATAATATAGATATACAAGTGTACTTGATAATGATAAGACTTTTGATAATTAAAAGCATTTGCATTTTCTGTAGCCTAACACATTTCTTTAAGAAAATTAATATATATATATATATATATATATATATAAATTTAATTTTTTTAATTACTCAAAACTAATTTATTTAAAAAACCTTAGATTAGATTATGTAAATTTTTTAAACAGAGGCATGTCTGTGATTAAATACACAAAATAAGTTTAATGTTTAAATGATCAAACATACACGCGAAATGTTTTAATGTTCAAACATATACGCGATGAAATTCTCGACACTGTCTTACATTTATTAACTTGAATTATGAATTTATACTTTATCTAAAGGTAAACAATAATAAAAAATTTCAAAAAATTATACTTACTGTGCTTGAAGATATTTTATTAAACCGTTTCGAAACACGTCTTCTCTCAAGAAATGCGATACCATTCGCAATAGAACAGCAGCTGAAAAGATTAAAAAAACATAATTTGTAAATATATTTTACAAATATATAAGCAACTACGCGATATAAAGAAAGATAATATTCATCTTGATATAATAATTCTAAAATCTATGCTTTTCGTTTAAGACAAACGTTTGAAGAAAAATAAATGTACATTAATATTGTATATTATAAAAATTGACTTGTGTGATATTTCTTAACCAATTGAACTTTTTAATTCCTTTTTTCTGTCTCTCATTGTAAATAACACATATTAAGATGTTTATAAAAGATATTATTATAGTTATTTTTTATAACAATTATCACATGTCTTCAAATAGATATTTAATAATGTCATTATATACATATATACATATAGTTAAATAAATATATTTAAAAAATGTCTTGCATTTTGTATACGTGTTGTCAGAATATGCTTTGGAGATATCCAAGTGATTTGTAATGTTTACGTTGATCGGTTGGGAAGTGAACAAATCCTCAAACAATTTTGCTTGCTCATATTCCACCACCAACAAGTCCATCAATCGCCATTCTTTAATAAACTGCGAAGAACAAGTTCATGAAAAGAATTAATGCAACAGATATTTACACGCTTTTACTAGTTAGGCTCAGTAAATAATAATTAAAGAGTAACAGGTGGGCAAAAAAGAGCACGTACACGATCTTAGTGTAAAGTAGTAATCGGAATTCCGTTTGATATGTCGGGATAGATCGTTGTTCTTTGACTGATAACACTGCTATTCTAAAGTTTGTCACTGAAGATAGTTAAATAATAATCGAAACGTTTGACAATTGATTGCTGTTATTACTTTATTACTACTTTACACTAACAAATCGTGTACGTGCTCTTTGCCCATCTGTTACTCTTCAACATATATTTGATCCCGAAATTTGCCAATACCTTGTCCGTAATGTAGAACTTCAAATAGGTCGATATGCCTTTGCTCAACCAAAGATAATCCCACCAAGCCGGGCTGACTAGATTTCCAAACCATTGTTGCGCCAATTTGTTTGTAATTGTCATGGTGTTAATTATCGAACGTGAATTTTCACGATTAAGCAGTACGTCTTGCCTTAAAAATTTTTCAAATATTTTTATTTTACAAATACGCAAGATTATATAATATAAAATATATTATTACATTGCGATATACATAAGTATAATTTTCGGCGGACATTTTACAATGCTCATATTTGTAAATATTGAAATAATCTACGTAAAGAAATATTCTTTATTTTCCTCTCCTTTTTCTTCTTTTTTTATCAAAAATGTTCTAACTGTCAAACAATTAATCGAGCCATTTATTTTATTTTAATAACTGTGAGTCTTCAATTGTTTGAAAAGTATAACAAAATTCATTTTATATTCTAGTTTTAATATAAGCACAGTTTAAATAATATAATCTTGATAAGTTAAACATAAAAATATACATATCTCCTTAATTTGATAATATATATAATCATTTAATTATCTCCGTGGTTTTTTAAAGGATTATCTACTATTAATTATTTTCTCTAGAGGGAGAAAAAAATGTTTATGCACTTACATGTAGACGATCATGCCCCAGTTTTCAGTGGCAGCGCTTGAATAATCAGGAATGGAAACGTGATCCATTTTCAGCACGTGAACGGTGCTATTGGTGAATCTTTCGAGTTCGCGCGTTGCTTTCTCAGCGATATCAAGAGGATATGTGGCGTAAGGAAGGAGATGCCTCGGACCCCATATTTTCATGCCACCATTTGAATTCATGATGTACTCATAATCGGCGATCACAAATCCCAATAAATTGGTGGACATGATAGGTTGTTGTCATGAAGAATGTCCACAATTTTCCATCGGCCGAATCGATATCTGACCATATGGACGGCATGTTCGACAACGCTGTGTAATTAGGATAATGTTTTATGGAAAATTGGAAGGTCGCTTTTATAGCAGGCTCGTCCCAGCATGGAAACGCCTTTCGTGCGGAAACAGGTTGGAAATGCGTTGCTGCCAACCATCTGCAAATTTATTGTAGTTTACTTCAACGTATAAATAATCGGAGAGTGAGGAAGCAGATTGCTATTTGATTCAATTAATTTTTAAGGGCAATTACGAGAGTTCCTAAGTAAGCAAGAAATATTTAATCAACATTTTAAAATGCTGATTTTATATAAATTTTACAAACGTTATGATATAATGTTTTATAAATATGTTATTAAAATATATTATTAATAAATATTGAAAAAAAAAATATTTTAACTGATGTTTTATAAATGTTTTAAAAATATTATTAATAACATATTGCTCTTAAAGTATTAATAAAGTTTTTTAAAAACGATAATTTCAACATTACCGAAACCTCTAAATTGATGTCAAAGTTTATTCAAAATGATGTTGCATACAATGCTAAAAACTACATACTTGACAACAATAATAACGTTGTAGCAATGATTTTTTGCTTACTGGGTTAAAAACACGATAATTGTGCTCTTCTATTAACTTTTTAATATATATATTTACTTCTTTTATAATATATTAATAATATATAATTATAATAATATTACATTTATTTTATACAGACATGTTTTATATATTTATATTTTATAAAATATTACATTTATGTTATATCTCCTATTGATTTTACATGTACATGTATAAATCTTTTATTTATGATTACTTACACTTTATGACCTTCATTATCAGTATAGAAGCTTCGATAGAATCCATGATTAACATCACTAATCACACCCGTGAATTTGAGATATAGCTGGTAAATCCCAGGATCCAATCGCTTCTCGAATCGTATGATCAAAATTTGCGTGGCACGATTATATTTATGCTGTTTTTGCACATAATTCGGTTCATCATTTACATCGTTCTCTTTCATGTCTCGAGTCAATGTTGTCAAGGTTTCATTTATTGTCAGTTGTACGGTGTGGAATGCGATCATGTGTGTCGGTTCCCATACCTTAATCTTGATGTTCTCTTCGCCTTCGAAAGTAAAGTTACCTTCCACGATATATGGTATTAATTTTATATTGTAATGAATAGGCGTGACATGGTTTGGTAGCCGATATATATTTTCTATGTATTCTTCCACTACTGTATTATTCACTACTTCATTAGCTTGAAGAAAAACACTCTGGCCTGCGATAAGCAATAAAGCTATCGTTAACAAATCTTTGACGACCATAACGAGAGAATGTAATATAACTATGTAACACACGTGTAGGCTACTAAAAATATAAGTGCGTTATAATTCCGTTATTTGGGAGTCGAAAATATATATATATATAAGATAGGGAAAGGACGAAGGAATACGAAAACAAGGATATCGAGTAGGGGAAAGCGCTGGTATACGAATACCGAGAGCAGAGAGTCGAACTTAGGCCGCGAATATAGACAGACTATTATCGATAATGAAAATCGATTGTGAGAGTCTGCATGTCTATCGTAATTCTGCGCATGTTATCTGTAATTATTCTCTAAAGAACAATTCTGACTTTTGACTGCGTGCTAGTTTTATTTTCAACGGCCAACAATAAATTATTTTTGTGCAAGTGATAAACGAAATATTTTTCAAATATTTCTTTTCCTATAACGATTCCTACACACGTCTCTTTCATTAAGAAACTGAAGTAATCTTGTAAAGCAATCTTCCAGTATATGATATTCAGAATCAGAGAATGTTTACATATGCGTTCGCTTTATAAGATATTCTCTAAAAGAAATATTATCAAAAAAGCATTTTAAAGCTAAGAAGACAATCTTTATTATCAAATTAGTTTAAGTTCCAAAGACTTATTAATTTTAATTGTTTTAATTAATTAAAGTATTTAATAATTTTTTTCAACAAAAAATACACTTTTTAAAATTTTCAAAAAAATACTATTTTATTCTCCATTTTATTCTAAAAGTGTGTATACTATTTATTTTATGGAGAATCGATGCATTTTATTTCTTTTGTATAGTTAATATAGAATTAAAAATATATAAAAGAAAAAAAATGCATCGATTCTCCATAAAATAAAAAATATATGCACTTTCAGAATAAAATGGAGAATAAAATCGTATTTTTTTGAAAATTTTAAAAAGTGTATTTTTTGTTGAAAAAAATTATTAAACATTTTAATTAATTAGAATAATTAAAATTAATAATTTTTTGGAACTTAAACTAATTTGATAATAAAGATTGTCTTCTTAGCTTTAAAATGTTTTTTTTGAAAATATTTCTACGACAAATATAATCACAGATATTAATTTTTAAAGTTGACAACTTCTTTATTTTTATGAAAATTGTATTATTTATAACTTCTGCAAAAAAAAATATTTCAGACAAATGCAAAAATACGTATCTCCTCATTTTATGTATATTTCATGTAAAAAAAATTTTGTTTATTTTAAAAAATACGAAGTCAAAAAAGACCGATTTTTGTCCGATTTGACGTGGAATTACCCATATGCATGTTGAATGAATTATATACATTATCACTAATAAATTTATAAAAATTATATATGAAATATAAATATATATTATAAATCTGATCTAGTATTACGTGTATATATTATACATTGTATATATGAACACAATACATATATAAATATTCTAATATAAAATATTTTTAAGTTATATGATATCAAATATTATTTGGACTATATATACTACGAAAATAAAAGAATTGATTTATAATATTGAAAATAATATATTATTGTTATATTATGTATAAACATACACTTGCGTTCCAACAACTTCTTCCTCACATATTTAAAAAGTTTACATTATAGTTCATATTTAAATTTATAAAATCATGACTTTGAAGTAACGTGTTATGTATTATACGTTCCAAGACAAAATCAGTCACGACTGAGACGCAAAAGTGTACAGGAAACAAACTCAGTCTTGTAGATAACGAACGTTTAAAATTTTTCTTATTAGACCTTTCTTTATCTTGTCTACGTTATAAAATTTTAATAGTTAAAATTGTATAAAGACTTTTGTGCGTTTATAAGAGAACAAAGAAAAAAAAAGTTTGTAAGGAACTACGCAAAGTTAATTATCAACTCAATACTGTTCAACTCGTTACAGAAGTCTATTAAAAAGAGATATTTTTATTGATTACAAAAGATGATTAAGTTTAAAATTTCCGCACCGGGCAGAATCGTTTTATCCGGAGAGCATTCGGCGACGTATGGAAAACATTATGTTGCGACCAGTTTAAATCGTCGTACCAAACTTATATTCTACGAATTACCTGATAAGAACAAAATTGAAATAGATTTTTCTCAAGTTAAGCTAAAGCTTAATATACCTTTAGAAGAAGTTCGAGGCTTTCTTTCTCAAAAAAATGACATAAAATCAAATCCAATTAATGTGCTTAACTACGTGAAATCCTTGATTACTTTAAACGGTATGTGGAGAACATTCGAGCAGAGATTCAGTTTAAAAATATTCTTTTTCATGCTTTATACTATCGCTTACAAGGAGACTCTTGACATAACATCTTTTCATGTGCGCGTGTCCACAAATATATATATGGGAGCTGGTCTTGGCAGTTCGACATCTTTCGCGGTATGTCTTGCGGCGTGCTTTATACATTGGAAGAATCTACAGACGGGACATTCTATTCAATTTAGTAATAATAAATTTTTGAAGAAAGTTGAAACTTACGTTAGTTTTTGCGAGACATTTTTGCATAGTTATGAATTTATATACACAACAACGACAGCCGACGTCAACATTTGTGTATACGGCAATACAGTGAAAAGTCGACTTGTCGATCACATAAATATTGATCCATTGTTCGCAAAGATGGCAAAAATGACGATTCTACTGATTAAGTCAAATATTTGCCTGAAAAAGAGCGAACAAGCGAAAAAAATGGCAAATCTCGAATATGAATCTCCTCAATTTTATTCTATATTAAATCAATTTGACGACGTAGCATTAATACTATTTGATGGGCTCGTTTCAGTAAATGATAGGAACTTAGAATATCAAGATCAAATGTATTATTACAATAGATTACAGGTATCATCTTTGTTTTTATTTAACAGTGTTATTATTTTATTTATATATATATATATATATATATATTTTTTTTTTTTTTAGTTTTGCTGCTTTGACAATATTGTCTAATACATAATTTTTAGTTAGAATATGTTCATTGTATAACTAATGTTTTTCATATTTTACAGGCATGCATTGGGTGGAATCAACAATTACTGAGCACGTCGAAATTGTCGGATGAGGCATTTGATAATATTTGCGCATTTGCAAACAATATTGGATTGCAGGGAAAACTTACAGGTTTTGGAGCTGGATTTGTATACATTTTGCTACCACCGAACATTACAAACCAAGAAGTCGAAAATATTAGAAATTATTTTCGAGGACAGAATTTTGATGCTAAACCTATCAGCATCAATTGTGATGGAGTGAGAATTGATAATTAATTTTATGAAAATTATCACGATTATATATATATATATATATATATATATATATATGACTAAATAATAACAAATAACTAAACGTAAAGTCAAGATTATTAACTTAAGTACTGCGTTATTTTAAGGAAAATATGACGAACAATATATGTTTTTGCTCAACATATTTACATATATTCTGTTCCTTAAAGATCGCAACCTTTTAGTGATATCATATTGAATCATGAAATTAATAGTGAGAAATAATTGAATTGAATTTTCTTGTAAAATATATCGAAAAATATTAGTTCTTTAAATTCTACTTTATTTTGCTTTAAAATTATAAACAATGTTGCGCCGAGATCATGCGCTGCAATAAATATATAGAAATTTTTTTCTGACTTATAAAAATTAATTAATATATGCAATACTTCAAAATTTAAATTATATAAAGCAACTTTTTAATGAAAAATAAATCGAATAATTTTGAATTATATTTTTTCGGCAACTCTTAAGGAAGGAAATAATAAAATAAAATTATTTAATCAGAATTATGTATTAAATAGATATATATACATATATCTGTTATCTACATAATTTCCGTGTTATATATTATCTGGAGCATATCTTATAAATGATTGTCTATGTAAAATGTACATGTAACTGATTAAATAATATTTATTTAATAATTTCTTCTTTATTAAAATAGCAATCGGAAGCAATATTTTAAAATTTTTTATTTTTTATTATTCAATAATGGTATATAATTCAAAGCACAAATTATAAAGTACATTGTTTATTTGTGATTTATTAACATATATTCTGATTTTGGAAATATGGACTAATGTATAATTACATAAAACATACATGCAATTATTTTGAATATACACATATACTGTAATATAAACTAATATTTTTGATATATTTTAGAATTATCAAAAACAAATGCTATATGAAAAGAATAATATATTTACATAAACTTTTGAATATTAATGTTTTTTCATATTTAACTCTATTATTCAAAGAAACTTAGAAAAAAACGAAAATCTTAATAGAGATTTTTGAAAGTATTTCTCAATTTAACATACAAATTATTATATTATTATTTGAAAAATTGACAGAGCAAATTTCCTTTTGCTATAATAATGCGTTTAACCAAATGAGTGTATTACTACGACATAAATTAATTACGATAATTATTATAATTGGATTTGCACAATAGTTGCAGATTGTCTGAAAAGAAGGATTTTACTTATTTTTATTCTTTTTTATAATTTCAGTTTTATGTACTAATGTGACTTATCGGTTTATAATTAATGTAACTAAGGAATAGAAGTAAAATATTTCTGCTTCAGGATTCTCGAGCTAAAATTCATGGTACATTTAGATAATAATTAAGTCAAAACGAAGGAAGCTGTTATAATTGAGATATATAATTTAACAGAGATTGCGATATATTTATCTTTTATTTTCAAAATATATAATTCTATTATAATAAATAATATAATTTGATATAGATTGAAAATATTAATTCATACTTATAAATATGAATTTTGTGATGACGAAAAAGTTCATTTTTATTTGAAATATATATTGTATTTAAATATATTATAAAATTTAGACATGTAAATATGATATACGGTTTGTGTCAATGCAAATAAAATAATGACAATTTATCTGATTGTTAACAAAAATCAACGCATTTTATAATTTTAAAAATTTGTTTCTATGTCCTTGTATGTATTTGCATTTGTATGCATATCTATTATTATTACACATACATTTTCGAATGTTGAAGTTAAGTTAAAGTTAAGATAAAGTTTGATTAAAGTTTTGAGATTGTAATCGATATATTTAGCTTTAACTTTTTGAAACATTATTATTGTTGAGAAATTAATTATAATCGCGAGACGCGAAATGGATGATTAACGTGGGAAAACAAAAACTTTTTTATAATAACAAATATTCTTCAA